TAGATGAAAAAGTTAATTAAACAACAGAACTCTCCCCGCTGCTTTATTCAGAATATAAAATAGGTCATTATTCTTTAAAAGATATTACCTGATCGACAATACCCGTTTCACTGCTTCGCAAAAATGTACTCGCATCTTTTTTCGTATATCTTTTAACTGTAGCGTCCAAATCATCTTCCTGAAATGCTCTCATTGCGAAAATTTGTCTCGAAAATTTTCAGTCATTTTCAGAAAATAAAAAAAAAATGAAATACAAGTTGAAATCAAATTGAAATTTCAATTTTTATAAGAAAAATAGAAGTACTACGGGCAAACGAGAACTACTCGCTGATAAGACTGAGCATGGCTTTTGCCAAGAGCGTTGCTTGGAAGCAAGTTGATGGCTGTTTTGACTTCCTGGCACATTTGCTAATTAAAAAAGTCGCCTGGCAAAACTGACTGCCTTTCTGGCGAAGTTGAGCCACTAACTCTTAACTCTGCTTGCTATTATACCAAGCCCAGCAAGGTCCTCATCTACGAACTATTAGCTTCTCCCAACAATTATTGACAATTTGGGCTCAGCATCGCCTTAATCCCTGGCAGGCTGGATAAGCTAATCGCTTGCTAATGGTAACTGGTCAACAAGTTCTAGAGGAATAGCAGTAGACTTGGATTTTAACAGACAATGGCTTGACCACTTGCAAAAAAAACTTTTTTCCGGAAAACTTTTTTTTTAAAATACGAAAAACAAAAATTTTGAAAATACTTCTAAGAAGCAAAACTATGATCGTTTTCTTGCTCCCAATCAACAATATCAGTAGCAAGGCCGTCTCAGTAAATGGTTTGGGGATCCCATATTAGCGATGTTACTTGGATGCTTCTACATACCGCTGCAGTTGTGCCAGTCTTCGATCTGGGCTTTTCTCTTTATATTATGCACAGTCACGCAAGATTCAATATTTGGATACATTCGGTTCGTTCTGTGCAAAAATGTAATAATTAGCCAACGCACGGGCTGCCTGTGCAAAGATGCGTTTTTTGCATAGCTCCCCGCAAATTTTTATCGTTAACGGCGCTGGTTTTTCTGGCAGATGCTTTTAGCTAAAAGAATTTCAGACTGGCCGCCAGGACTGTCAGGAAACATCTCTTCAAAATCCCAGTCTTCTAGCTTCACACTTTCCCCAGTTAGCAACTCACCCGGAAGAAACTTTCAAGAGCCCGTACGCAGGCACCACGCTTACCCGCGGGCAGGGTTTGAACTCGTTAATACCTACTTGGACGGGCAACAGTGCCCTAAGATTTCAACGCTCTAGCTTCTCAGATCCCCGAGTTATGAACCTACCGAAAAAATTTTGGCGGCCGTACGCGGGTACCACGCTTCCCCGGGGGATGGGTTTCAGTGCATTATCACCTACTAGGACGGGGAACATCCCTCTAAGGTTTCAGCGTTCTAGCTCCTCAGATCCCCGAGCTATGAACATACCCCAAAAAAATTTTGGCGGGCCCGTACGCGGGTGTTGGCGCCCATTTTCGAGACTGGGGCCGGCACGTGCATGTAGATTAAGTTCCCGAAATTTCAGCCCCATAGCTTTTACAGGTCTTGAGATGAAAGTGCTTGACAGACGCACACACAGACACACGGACACACAGACAACCCCTCGTCAATATGCGTT